TATGTATATGTAGCAGTATTTAGTGAGTTCTTTGAAATGTTATCATGAAAAGATTAGCTGTTATTGAGCATTAGCTCACAAGAAACACTCCGATGTATTCAATGCCAATTGAATTCATATGTGATTCATCAGTGAAAATTGATTGAGACCGGTTGAAATCAAAAAAAAAGGATCTATTCCCATGTAATATCCATTCAAGCATGAACGTATTTTCTGTAGCAATTTGGAAGTTTGGTCAAGTGTCTACGGAAAACTATATTAAGACATATAAACTTTAAGCTTTATTCATAGTTAAGTACTACAGTCACTAGAGTGTCTGATGAATTTTAGCTAAAAGGGGAACATACTTATGAAGATTTGAATGTTTAAGATAAGAAGATTCTGTGCCGCGTTTTGTGACATATTATCAAGCTTTAAACATCCAAAGTTTCGAGAAGAATTTACTCATTTGAACTTGAATTTACAGAATAATATAAAAGCTCTAACGTAAGACTCATGCTTGAGAAAAATTTCAAATTTAACTTCTACAATTCTGTTGTCCACAAATAGCTGGCTAGGTGTTCAAATCATTCAGTAAAACCATCATAACTTTTTATGAAATCAGCATGGGAGATGCATCTTTTTAAGTTTGAACTAATTTCATCGAATTCTATTTACGGAATTAATAAGAAATTATTCGGCTTGGAGCATTTTGAGAATATATTCATCATTTAAAGATTATCATCTTTAATATTTGTTCTTGCGTTTCTAGATTTGAATTTAACGATTTACTTTTATTCATTTACTTGACAGCAAGACACGAATCATGGACTATATGTATATATTCAAGTATATTATCATCGGTGATAGAAGTACGCTTTAGATATTATCAAAATATGGTGTTTTTGATATAAATTTTTGCATTCTCTCTCTCTTCCTTGTCTCGCAGGTGTGGGTAAATCTTGTCTTTTACTTCAATTTACTGATAAACGTTTTCAACCTGTACATGACTGCACATTAGGCATAATAGTCTTGAAAAAAGGAATCAATATCGTCTGATCTAAACATTTTTTAGGCGTTGAATTTGGCACTCGAACCATCACTGTCAATGAAAAACTAGTTAAACTACAGATTTGGGACACGGTTTGTGTACGCTTGTATTTTTCATATTATCAATGTAGACTTATAGGCTGGTCAAGAACAGTTTCGTTCGGTCACGCGTGCATACTATCGAGGAGCAGCTGGAGTACTTCTTGCCTATGATATCACAAAGTATGCTCAACGAATTTAGATTTTCATTGAAATCTAACTAATTTACTAGACGTGCTACATTTGACCATTTGACCATGTGGATTAATGATTTGCGAAATAATTCGACTTCAAACATGGTCATTATACTCCTCGGTAATAAATGGTAAGTTGTTTTAGTGTAATTTCAAATCTGCATATTGATATTGTTCAAAGTGATTTATCTGATCGACGAGAAGTTAAAAAGCAAGAAGGTGAAGCGTTTGCACGTGAACATGAAATGATATTCATGGAGACATCGGCTAAAACAGCTATGAACGTCGAAGATGTGAGATCTTGGTTTAGTCTCAACTTAGAAAATGTATCATGTTTTATTCTAATTCAGGCATTTATCAAGACAGCTTGTGAAATTTGCAATAAAATTGAAAAAGGTGCCTTTGATCTCACGAATGAGGTGAATGTTTGATTTTGTTGAATTGTAATTTTTCATATTCTCTTTGATTCAATTCAGATGTATGGCATTAGAATTCATCGCAAATGGTCGAATGAAGATCCAGGCACTCGTCGTAATTCAAATTTGAATCGAAGTTGTGGTTGTTGTATGGAAAATTGGTGCATATCGTAACATATATAGAACACTTGCATACTCTGTTTATGTACCGATTATCTTTTTAAAAAAACATGTGCTGAATTTCTGCACAGGTGCAGGACATGGAATTGAAGGGGAGGGTGTGTGTGGTTGTTGATCTATTTGAAAAGTGAATAAGAAATTCCTAGTTATATCCAAACTAGGGATGCAATGGCGACGGCGGATCATTGTTCACCGATGCCATCGGTTTCAATGTACTATGGTCCCCCTTACTAGAGATGTACGAGTTCCAATTTTCACCAACTTGAAATTGAAATTGGTTAAAGGTGGGAAGTTACCGTTACACCAGCAGTTACTTTACCAGTCACTGGGTGACGGAAAATTTTTGGATTTAATTCTTTCGTCAACGCAAAGTTACTATAAGAAAATAACGATTTTTTTTAAAAAGTTTCACCGAAGGTATTTGGAGTCGGGAAATTCGGATCTATAAATGATTTTTCAAAATTTTCAGTTTCATTTTGTTTTTTACAGTCAAAAAATACTAGCAGTTAACAACAACTGCCCTCTTCAGACCTCTAATTAAATCGAAATCACTTATTACTTTCCCCGGTAGCAATAAGCGGTAGTACCTGCCACTTACTAGCAACAGTTATGGGAACGTGACACTCTTAATCAGTAACCTACGTTGATCACCGGCTTTATTCACCGGTAATGTTACCACAAAAATCTTTCATGGAAATCTGTAAAGATAACGTTGTTTTCACAATTCAGGTCACTCGTATCCGGAAAACTAGGCTCACAAGTTTCGGTTAACAGTTACGTGTCATTCCTACAGTAACAGGCTTAACGTTGACTAGTGGGCGGTGTGCCGTCACCATTGTATCTCTATCCGATACAGAGTTTCAAAAAACTGATTGTAGATATTCAACCACGCATTGGCTGCTGATATTTAGAAAATAGTAACGAAGAGGTGAAGTGTGTAGGTGTTTCTACTCTCACCTACCCCCACCCTATTTTATTTAATGAGACTCAATTAAAAACATTTATTAAGTGGTTTCACTTAATGCTTAATATTAAGTGTTGTCCATCTCCAACGTAATATTGGTCTTCTTCAGATCCGGACCTGATTATCGATTAAGATGATTCATTTCATCTGAAAAGTGTCCTACATTTTTTTATACAAAATAGGGCATATCGATTTCAAATTCGTTCCATTTCTATTTGGATCATCATTACTCTGTCAAGAAGGATTATGTTCTTCTTGTTTGTGTATTTGTACGCAAAATTCTTGAAAATGCTTGTTTCGCTGCGAATTAGCATTATTTTGATTTGAAACAAAAAAACTCTTCTTAATTTCTTCAGAATTCATTTTCAAAACAAAATAATACAACTAAAATAATCAAAACAATATTATACATGTTCATTTATTCTTAAGATTTAAAGTCAGATTAACTTTCTATCAATAACAATAGCTGTTCCTTTGTTATTAAACCCGACTATCCAGATATTTCTAAATAATTTTCTATTGCACTTAGGACAGCTGATTCTCGACTCTTAAGATTTTCTGATGTACCAACGACACCATCACAGTCGAATCTACCATCCCATACTCATGTCAATAAATTTATACGACTTTTAATTTGTGCCTTGCATGTTTTATTAAGTACAGTCATCTGTCTAAAGTCAGTCCATTGAAATAAACTACGATATATGTCAGTTGCTCCCATTTCACTTTTTGGTTCCGTATTGATCTCAGCTGTTGTTGCTTGTCGCTCTTCTAAAATTTTTATCATGAAATATATATTTTGAAAACCTCAATATTAGCAAAGAGAATGAAACTCATTGACAAGAATATGAGGAGCGATACTTTACATTTTCTATTCATGAATTGATCTGGATGAACAAATATGTAAAGTGTTCATCTCTTTTCGTATTCAAACGAAAATAACCTATCGCTTTTGTTAATGTCAATCGTTCCGAAATAAAAGAATATAACAAAATGGAAGAGATCGGTTATGAATCATATTTGAATGAATGAGAATATGCAAGAAATGATAACAATCTTCCTTACTTGAATCTGTTGAATTGTCAGACGTAACAAATGATGAGGATGATACAGGTAAAGATCGTCTTGGAATATAGTTGCAAAATGCGATAAAAATCAATATGAACAAACAAGTAACTATGATAATAGAAATAATCTCAGTAATGTTAGACTGATGTGTTTGAACATTTGTCTCAAACATATCCTGAGATGAAGGAAGGTCTGAGGGATCCCACATTCAGAATGATATGCAATATCGGCTGAAGATATGTGTGATGTGACTAACAAAATGATTGTCGATGCATATAGCATATGATACATCATATCGACGATAATGTTTTTTTTTCTTTCTGTCACTCCTTAAGACGTGTGTATTTTTCTTTTTCATATAGGTAGACACAGATGATGTGTTTTTTAACGACAGACAGTCGTAGAACATAACTGTTACGCTGACAAAATATTTTACTTCCTATATGATTTGCTGGCGCATACGTTTTTTTTTCTAAATTTATCAACTGGATGTTATGAGATGTCTTCGAATTCAACAATATATATATATGTGTTTATTGTAATCGTATAAATTGAATTTTCTGTGTAAACCTAAACTTTGAAGAAGTCTTTTAAAAAATTAAACAAGACAGCATCTTTTATGATATTTTTTTTTCATTTATCTTTAGATTTCGAATAAAAAACACCGAGGATTTTTAATGAATAATGATATATGAGCATAATTCATAAATGATAATGAAATTTCACTTCTTTTTCATTCTCATAACAAGGATCGTCAATATTCCAATCCTTGTCATTATAGTTGATCGATTTATCTCGATGACAGCTAATGAAATAAATCCAATCTCGTTTATCAAAAAACATGGTTACGAATATTGATATATATCTTCATCAGTTTTGATGGGTGTGGGTGTGGGTGTGGGTGTGTGGGTGTGGATGTGGGTGGGTGTGGGTGTGGGTGTAGTGTGACTCACTCTTGAATAAATACTGACACCCTCCCACACCCCACACCCACACCCACACCCACACCCACACCCACCCACACCCACACCCACACCCACACCCACCCACACCTACACCCACAGCCACACCCCACACCCACACACCCACACCCACACCCACCCACACCCACACCCC